TTAAAGTACAGAGTGCCATCTTGCCCTTCCCAAAAACAAGTCAGCTAAGTCATTTTTTTTTATTGTGTCATTCGAAAGTAGTAAGTGACCAAAGATTACAGTTTTTTTCCTAAATTTTTTTGATGACTGCAAACGGGAGAAAAGTTAATTTGAAAGTGCCAAAAATTAGGGTGGCCTAAAACAGCGTTTGAACTGCGCGCTCGTAGGTTTCGCAGGAATACGTAACGAGCAATATGGTGGCGGAATGCGTAGTGGAAGAATATACCCCACATAGCACAGAATATTGATATAATACTACAATAGTACTGACACGTCAGTAGTGTCAGTATTTATATAATGCTGATGTATCCTGATTTAATATTATATCAAGACTATGCCAGTATTTATTAGTTACTGATTTGGAGCTGTCAAAATATTGTTACAGTATTGGCCGAAAAGGTTGATTTCATATGGAAATCAGGGTTATGACAAGGTCATCAGAACACTGCAGGACTCCGACAATATGTATGCGTTACTACGTTGACACTGACACGTCTGTACACTCAGCGCACTCTGTCAAGTAGATATGAAAGTTCAGACCATGACCGTCATTTTCATAGTACTACACATGTATTACGTTTGAAACATGAATTACACAAGTATACTAGTATTGAATATTACGAACCACTTACTTGATGTCCTGCGACGTTTAGTAGCGTAAGATACCCGGACGCCCTCGGGTGGATTTGAACCCGAACCGCGGAATTCCTAGCCCAGTATTCTGCCATTGAGCCACAGGGAGCTGATGGTGTTTCGGGTTAAAATCACGCCTATTAAGGCTGTTATAGCATGCATACCATCAGTCCGCGGCTCGACTTTCATCATAACTTTGATTAACACCGTGTTTTCTTAGGCTTCTTTTTCTTCCTATATTTTTTTTTTCATTTTTTCGTGTTAATTTCTTTTCGCGTTATTTTTTTTTTTTTACCTCGTCAGCATTGACTCAATACTGTTGTTTGATATATTGAAGGTATCAGTGTTATATTCATGCTGACGCGGTATACCTTTTAACCGACAATCTTAATATCATACTGCATTAGTGTTGGTGATATCATGTCAACATCCAACAATATGTATCAGTATTGACATAAGATTCTGTGCTATGTGGGACGGCGGCAACGCGTTGGCGGTATGTTTTTGTTGGTCAATTGGAGGTTATGTAGGTTACTTTGTTTGAGATTCATATCCATTTTTCTTAATTCTCTAAGCTTTCCAATCAGAATGCGATACAGATGTATGTAGGATAAGAAACATTCACACAGAACTTAGTCAACCTCAAACGAGAAATCGTGATGTCAACATCAGCAGCGTGGCGGTAGTAAGCAGGTCGGCTTCGGCGCCGCCATCTTCCCGTCTATGACGCGTATAATTCGAAGATTCACTGCGGTCGGTTCCAACACGTTTTCGAGGACCCCTAAAAAGGAAGCGTTATATCTCCGCGGAGACAATTTTTCGTGAAATTTTAACATGCGCATCGTTCTTCTCATACCGAAAACTGTAAGATTCGACTATTTGCAGGCAAATCCCTCCCGAGCTTAACTGACTCATTGCCGAGTTAGTATCACACCCGGAAAATCCATGTAAAAATAGCATGTAATCTTTTAGTTTCGGACGAGCGTTTAGGCTTTTAAAAGATTAAATTTTTGCTTCAAAGTTTTGTCAACCAGGTTTTAGAAAAAAATATTTCCCTATTTTCTGGAGACAATGTACTTAAAATTATTAAAAAATCGACGTCTTCTCCAACAATCACACAATTTTTGGCTGTCTCCAAAGATAAGATCAAGGCCGTTTAAACTATCAGTGGGTGTGCATCTCCATCTGGAATTTCATTTTGAAGACCGATGCTCCTGAATTTTTTTTTGTGGAATTTCTATCAGTCTTGTTTTGTTTTCGTCATTAGATAAAAACTTTTCCTGGATTAAAGTTACTTTTGTTTCTTCATTAAAAGCAATTTCCATGACCATTGATTTACCGTACCTTTAGGATCTCTCTGCATTTTTTGTTGATGGTGTGTCACTCAAATAACCGTCTAAAATAATGAGGCAATTTCTACCAAAATTCCGAAGGACATAGGTTATGTAATTTTCTGTAATCTCCAAACTGTTCTGCTCCCTGGGGCCAGACTGCGTGGTGTAATAGAAATCCACCATCGAGAATATATTTGCTGTTACTTGGGGCCTTTTTTTCTGGTTTCGGCTCAAAAATGGCGCATAAAGAGGCTTTTTTTGTTTTCATTATTCTATTGGTATCAAACTGGGACTGAGGGTACGGAGATAATTCATACTTAGAACAATTCTCAAGGCCTTCTTGCAACGTCATAAAAATGGAGATGCGTTGAAATAATCGCAATGGATCACATGTAATGTCATTTTCGTGGAGTAAGTGTTACCCGTGTCTGTGTATAAATTTCGGACTATCATTTTAAGTGATAATTTGATTTCGCCAAATTTTTTCTAGAAATTGTTTCTAAGATTCTAAGTCCGGCAAGTTCTGAGGTAGATTTATTTTTTAAAATTCTTGATCTATTCGAAATCCGTGAATCGACCTCACACAAATACGTCGGGCAATAATTAGGATCACAGTGTCATCAAAATACGAGTCCTTCCTTTCTGGCTGATAATCGCCCACAGGCTATTGCTGAAGCATCAAAGTTTACTGACTGAAAACAGAATTTTGCATAGCAAACAAGGTAAGAGAACATAATTATTGCATATCATGTAAATTTCAGCTATTTATAGAGGGTGTGAGAAGGTTGAGACACTCGGCGGCGCACTATGGTCCCACAGCCCGATTTAAGCAGCATTAAATCAGATATGTATGATTATACCTTGCAACATGAGTTTTCAGGGGTTTTTTGGGTCGCTGAGTGCAAATATGCTAACATTTTTCAGAAAAAAATCAATTTTTAACATTTTTGTACTTTCTTATAACTGCGGTATAATTTGTGGAAAAACCTTAAACTGAGGCGAAATTTCAACGGTTCCGCGGTGGTGTAGTGGACACCGTGTCTAACCTGTAATTCTGAGGTCCCGGGTTCGATCCTCGGAGGAATTTTTTTTTTTTTTTTTTTTTTTTTTTAAACTTCACAATTAAATTTTACATTGGATGGACTATAAGAAGCTAAAAGTAGAACTTTGTCGAACACTACTGTCAAGGGAACTAACTTAAATAGTTATATACTTCAAAGTTTCATGGCTGCGGAGGCCTACTTGCAAGTTCCACCGATCAGCCGTTTGAACTTGTTTTCGTCTGCCAAGCTGAACTTAAGCTTAAATATATCTATTCTGATAGACTATGTGTTTGATACATGGGTAAACGTCAAAAAAAAACTTTTGTGGGACCTCAAAGTAGCTTCCTAAGACGATTTCATCGCTTGGGAGCCTTACTTTCAAGTCCCACCGATCAACCGTTTGAACGCGTTTTCATCTGCCAAGCTAAACTTGAGCCTACATGTATCCATTCCGATAGATTGTATGTTTGAAACATGGTAAAACGTCAAAAAAAAAACTTTTATGGGACCTTTAAAGTGGCCTCTCGAGGCGATTCTTCGCTGTTCTTGAGCATAAGTTTCAATTCCTTCCGATCAGCCCCATCAACTCGTATTATTCTGCCTGGGTAAATTTAGGCTCTAAGGCATCTGTTTTGATAGAATATGAGAGTGGAACATGATAAAATGCATGGTCAATGGCGTATGATAGCTAATAGTAGTGACTGCTAAGAAACGCGAAAACGTCATTTTTCATGAGAAATAGCTTGAGGCTATGGTGGACTATGGATCTGCCACTCAGACTAAAAGGTAGTCTAGAGTCATGACAATAACTTCCGAGTAAAATTACGAGGTGCTCAGAGGTGCAAAGTATATTTTTTGGGTCATACTTTTGCGATTTTATTGATAAAACTGACTATGTCTAAGAATTAATCTAGAGCATTAGACATGATAAAAAAGAATTGTTTCAGCATGGAACATCTAGAAATTACCTTATATATTGTAAATCAAGTACCCAAACACTTTCAGTTACGGTGAAACAACGAAAACAAGCCCTTAAACTCAGCACTGCCGCTCGGTAACTGGAAGCGTACTCAAAAGTGCTCCGCGCGCCGCACTTCCCAGGCTTGTCACATCTTTATTAGTGTTTCAATCTAGATGATATTTTACAGGAGTCTTCTTTACAGTATGTACTATCGATCTACGTATTGAAATCGAACTTTTTCCAAACTTCATTTTTCCGATTTATTGCCGCTTAAATCGGGCTATTGGACCATAGTGCGCCGCGGCCGCGCGGTCTAGAGGCGTACCTATGTGTACCGTACAGTGAGGAAGCGCGCTATGACGCCCATACGCGGCGGCCATTTTGAGGGTCAAGGAGTGCCTGGGGAAGGAAAAGCATAAGAAACTTTTTTTTGCAGAATTTGATGAGGAACATTTTCCGAATGATACGCAACTCGCTATCTCCAACCGTCCTCGAGATATAGCCAAAAAACCGATTTTTTAGCCTTTTTGGGGGGGGGGGGCTGGGGGGCTAAGCACAAGGGGTATCGATGGGGACTTTTAGCCTGTGCCTCTTTAGACCCTAACAAGCAACTTTAGCCAAAAATCGCTTGTATGGGAATTTTTTCCCCTAATCCGAGATTTTTGATCTAATTTGAGTGGACTAATTCACATTGTCTTGACTCTCAGTATAAAGGGACTCTAATTTTAACCAGTTATTGATTGTGTAGAGAGAAAGCAAATCCAAGGGCTCCAAAAGGCTGTCACTATCCAGTTTCATTGAAATACTCTAGTCCTGCCAAAATTGAACTATATTCCAGCCCCTAGAAGTGATTGAAGTAGTTAGCAGTCTTCAGGGGAATAACTTTTGCTCAACATAATTTTTTTTTTTGGGGGCTCTGAAAAGTTATAAAATACTAAATTCACTGCTAGATGGGACATAATTTGTACTCAAATTTGTGTTGTTTTTCAGATTTAAAACAAGAAATTCTAATTAAAGAAAAAATTAATTCTTCCGATAAATCTGAAAAATCTTCTGCTGTCAGACGAGGCAATAGTTTTAGGCTGGCAACAACAGATGGTCTCATTGATTCAAATAAACTGACAGCGTCAACAGAAGAAATGCCTAGCTCCAAATTGTCTCAACAGAACAGTACTATTAAAAGTAAGCCACCCCTAAGTTCCTCTATCATCAGATCTTCCCTCTCCCGCTTCAATTGTTTCAAAACTAAGTGCAGTTGCGACAAACCCCCCACTGCCATTCGAAACTCACTTCGTTCAAAGAGCACTTGTGACAACACATCCTCTGCCCGTAAGAGCCAACGAGACAAAAGTCTATGTGAAAAAGCAGGGCAAATTTCTCTGAGGGACAAAACTGTCAGTGAGAGAGCGTTTTTACCCATGATTAGTAACACAATGCGTCCAAAAAATGTCAGCGATAAGTCAGCTCCTTGTAACCACTCTCATCGAACATTAAGTCGCACGTGCACAGACTAAGCATGAGCTTGCAACCATATTATAATAAAAGGAGTGCGGAACATTCTTACCTTTTTAATCCTAAAACAAATGAAAAATAGTGTAAAAATTGTTACTTCATTTAATTTTTGTTTAAGTTGCCGTTCATTTTACCTAAGGGTGAATGATCTTTACACTTTTTCACAATTCTGTTGAATCAGAATCTAAGGTAAAAAGCACACAATTCAGAACCTCAAAAATCGACTCTGCAAAACGTAGCTCATTACTTATAAATTCCATATAAAATCTAATCAATCAGAAATGGTTAAGAATGCGTTCGTCTGACGCAAAGGGCCTCTTTTACCAGCATTTTAGGATTTTTCTGTGACCAACATATCTGCGAACTATTTATCTTCTACAGGCTACTTTTTCTATCTTGTGGGAGAGTTCTACTAGTTTTGCAATTGGCATTAGCTTGAGCCAATCCCTGATTCTACCTGAACTTAGATGTTGAACATTTCAGGGATTGCAGCCATATTTTTTAACAAAGTTTACCTAAACTTTAAATGACTCCTCAACTCTTTGGGCCCCGGCTCAAGTCAGAAAATGTCAATGAAAATGTCAGTTTGTGGTAATTGGGCACGAAGTCATGATTATGACCCGTGCAGTGTTACAATCAATGTCCAAAATAATACAGGGTGATCCAAAAGTCCCTTGCTCCCCCTCTAACTTTTTACCTAATTAAGGTAAAGATTTGAAACTTGGGGGATGTTCCTTGGTCAAAGGGAGCTACTTTTTGGCCTCCCTAAAATTATCAGGGGGGTCCCTCTTGGAGGGCAACGGACCCCAACTTTTAATTTTCAAATCAGAAGACCCCCTTCGTGATAACTCGTTCGAAAGAGCATAAAATAAGACAACTTTTAGCGCCAACCCGAAGTCAATATCTCGAACCGTTCCAAAATGGCGGCCGGTTAAAGTTCAAAATGGCGGCCGGTTAATGTTCAAAATAGCCGACTATTCAAACCGGTTATTTGTCGACGGATTTGCGCGAAAATCGGTATCTGTAGGTATTTTGACACGAGAAAAACGAATTTGACGTTAGATTTTCAAAAAAACCGAAATTTCCTAAATGGCCGCCGGTTAAAGTTCAAAATGACCGAAAATCAGTTTTTTCACAAATCTAAGTTCTAATGTGTTCATCTTATGCCAAAATATCCTCAATTTCCAAGTTTTAGGCAAATCCATCAGCAAAACACCGAGGTGGCAATTTTCGGTCATTTTGAACTTTAACTGGCGACCATTTTGGAAATTACGGTTTTCTTGAAAATCTAACGTCAAATTCGTTTTTCTCGCGTCCAAATACGTGATGACACCGATTTTCGCGCAAATCTGTCGACAAATAACCGGTGTGAATTGTCGACCATTTTGGACTTTAATGGTTGAACTTTAACTTTTGAAACGGTTTGAGATATCGGCTTCGGGTTTGCACTAAAAGTTTTTTTTATGCTCTCTCGAACGAGTTATCACAAAGGGGGTCTTCCCATTGAAAATTGAGAGTTGGGGTCCGTTGACCCCCAAGGGGGGCCCCCCTGAAAATTTTAGGGGGGCCAAAAAGTAGCTCCCTTTGACCTAGGGACATCCCCCAAGTTTCAAATCTTTACCTCAATTAGGTAAAAAGTTAGAGGGGGCGGAAGGCACTTTTGGATCACCCTGTATAACAACTATGCATATTGAGCAGTGGTGTCATTAAAAACCCTTACAATTTAGTTGAGCTGTTTCATTAAATTGCTGTTGTAATTTTTGGAACTTCCATTGTCCGTTCAAATACCAACCACAACAAAATCATTGATGACTGGTATGTGTAGTCTCTCCTCAAGTTAATACTGATAATACCATTCATGATAAGATTATGTCATCGTTGGGGAAACTTTTATGATGTCGTACGTCAGGAATGCATAAAATTAATGCTTTTTATTATCTTTTGGAGTCTTTCAAAATTGCACGGACCCCTAATTTTTTCTACACTTCAAAGGGGCGATGGTAGATATTTGCAAAAAACTATGCGAACTTATGAATAGCTGTTGATAGTGATGTAATGAACTTAATAAACTTCACAAAAATGAACTTAAAAATTCATTCCAAGCAAAAGTCTAATAACGAGCTCTCTTATATTTTCAAAAATTCCTCTTTTAATGGGAATCTCAAGTATTGTATTCAGTGAAAAAGCATACAAGAGGAGGTAATGTAATTTTTCGAGTTTGAATGCTCCGCTAATCCTTGGAGGGCTGAAGGTATGTTTTATTATTTTAAACCAACTCATCCCTTGTTCTCTGCTTGAGGCATTCTTTCGTTTGCTGTCACAACCTGTCAGTCGGCCACCTAACATGAAAAATTGAAAGCAAATATTGTGTATCTTACCCAAAGGAAACAACCGAAACTGGTTCGCACTGATACATGTGCCTTCAGACAAACATACTCCTTACATGCTTTCAAAATATTTTAAGCTTAATTATACTCTGTATAGTAATGAGCAAAAGTGGGTTGCTGCAAACAGTTTCTCTCTGTGCATGTGAAAGGGGTGGGGTTCTTGTTTTGCAGGACCTCATCTACGGAATCCCTTGCCATTGCTATTGCTCCTGCTTCAGAGCTTTTCTTAGGACAATATCCACTTAGCAGTGAGTCTAGTTTTTTTGTGTAAAAAATTACGGATTTTTTTTGCATTTTTACACAGGACCTAAAAAATAATTTTCTCATTTTAATTTAATAAAGTGTGATAATCAGCAGTTAGATCAACACCTACTGTTTTGGATTAAGAATGTTCTGCCCTCCGAATCCTTAGGTTAAATGGAGCATGTCCAAATATTCAAAGTTTCTTCTTGTCCTTTAAGGTCTTCAGTGAACAAAGCAAACCTGTATCGTGCCATTTTTCTTTCAGTCGTCAGTCTAAACATGCATTGTGCCGCTGCATGAAGCAATTAGTATTGTCATTAATTTATTTTCTTGCCAATTTCAGAGCTTTTTAGTACATACCGCGCTCTCTTTTATCTTGCCCTTCCTGTTGCAGTCGTGTTCTAATCAAAAGCTTTCATTTATAACACCATTTTTAACAATTATTAACTTTCAAATGTATGCCAAATATCACATTTGCTCAGTTAAGTGCATTTATTATTTAATGAACTACATTATTTATTTTTTTATTGACTCATATATTTTGTTCACCAGAAAACAAATTTGTGTATCTACTCTATTTAAACCTAGGTTGGATCCTCTATTTTCTCAGTTTCAAGGTTAAGTAACAAGTTCAGAATAGTCCCCCCTCCCTCCCGCGAACAGCTTTGATTATGAAGTGATGGTTATTGTGATTTAAATAAGCAACAAAACTAGCTAGTCAATCACGTTGCAATCCCAGGTCATGTTTCAACACCAAACTATCCTAGTTAAAAATTTTCAAATAACCAATTTTACTCTAGGCTCCTTAAAAACAAATCACTTTTGGTAAAGTAGCTCAATGAATTCCATTCCAAATGAAACAGTTTTTTTCTTGTTTGATTGTTCGATCACTTTTTTCCCCTTTGAATAACTTTTTAATCTTTTTTATTATTCTTGTTTTTCTTTCATTTTTTGCCTCTAATTCAAGAAACATCATATTTCTCAGTTCAGTCAAGTCATTCAGTGCTTTTGAAACTGCAAAGTCGAGGAACAATTAGTTTCTTAGTTATTTTTCAATGAGTTTTACTTCCTAATTATTAAACTTAGTTTCTCTTAATTTGTAATTTTGACTGACAATTATGTCAGTGGCAATGAAAGTAAATGTGGAGAAAATGCAAACATGAACAGCATGTATTTCAAGTACATCTTTATCTGCAGATGTTACATTAGAATTCTTATTTTAGTGTTTTGCTCTCGTAGGTTACGGCAAAGAGAGGGAAAATTACCTTTTATTATTTATTTATGTGCATTTTATTATCATCTAGGTATTTATCCACTTACTTAGTCATGGGATCCAATTTGTCAGGAGTTAATTATATTCTTTTTTGTAGAATTTTTGGAACAGAGTCGGCAGAATTTTTAAGGTTTTCCCCTTCTTTCAAATAATTAAAAATTACCTCTCAAAATTTCAATTGTTTTTAATCTTTAAAATATTATTATTTTTTCTGAAGCAAGTCGGACAGTTTTTTTTTTGTCAATTTTCACTCATTGAAAAAAGTGGTCCCTTCATAAATTTAAAGAACCATTTCTCTCGTTTTTACCCTCTCGATAAAAACAGTAAGTCAAAAGGGGTACGTGCAAAACGGGCCATTTCACGCTCGTGTCGGGTACTATTGAAACTTTCCCTATTCATTCATCTAACAATGCCCCATGTTTTCCCAAAGTTTCAAGTCCCCAAAAAATGTTTGGGGGAAGTGGCGGGGGGTGAAAGTTGAAAATCCGCGAAATCTTCGCGAATTTTTTACTCAAAAACTACTGGATATTTCGAAACGCGATTTAAACGAGCGTTTTCAGCGGGAAAAGAGCTTTCAGAAAATATATAATATCATAGGGTTTTGTCGACTGAAACTCCAGTTAGCGCCTCCGAAGCGCCGGAACGCTAAAAAATGACCCGCTTTTTCTCACGTTCGGGCCGATCCCCAAAGTAGCCCATTTTAATTTCTTTGAAAAACTGATATGTTGTTCCTGACTCTCTATGGCACCCATATGACTTTACCGTAT